TGACTGCCATGCCCTCAAAGATGGTGGCGCCCACAGTCCTCTCAGCCCTACCAGGGTGACAGGCACATGGCATGGCCAGGCCTGCCCCCAGAAGAGTGGCGGCTCTGTGTGCCTGACTCTGGAGTCTTCCAGTCCCCTCAAGCCCCTAACCCCTGGATGGTGCCCAGGGCCGCCCGAAGCTCAAGTAACCAGGGCCGGCCAAGGCTTGTGCTGCCAGCAGTGGCAGTAGCAGAGGTGTGATGGGGGCATTGCCTTCCCATGATCACTGAATTGCCTCCTACCTCTTAGGGCTCCTGGACTGTGAGAGGGGGCAGGCTGGGCTGAGGGGACATGCCCCTCCCTCCCCCGCTTCAGTGAATGAATTTTCATGTCCTGGGCCTCTAGTTTTCAAATAGACAACAAAGTTATTGGCTACAGTTGAAGTGATTGGTATTTATAGAATTTCTCATCTTTGTCTCCAAGCAATCAACTCGGAGGTAAACCTTAGTTGAGTGAACCAGTTGGCAGTAACTTGGAAGGAGAAGGGGATTTGGGGTGGGGGTTGGGATGAGATGGAAGTAGAGATGAAATAGCAATAAGAAGACAAACAGTAAATGACATAATTTGGACAGACTTGTCTAGACTTTTTGGTTTAGAAACAGGGAAACAGGTCTGCAGAAGAAAATGGTTTTTCTAAGATCACACCTTCTCTTGCAATAATGATATTACGGGATTTTCATGACTGGTTTTTAGGAGTTGACTGTGAGGAAAAGGAAATGCATGCTGAAAAGATAGCTCTGAGACAGTATTCTGGGCGCGTTCCTGTCGGTAGTATATATTCAGAAATGCTGCTAGTTCTTAGGAGAGAAGAAAAGTGCTCTCAATATCTTTTCATGTACATACCGCCCTTTTCCTGGGTAAAGCTTGGAAGGACTTGCCTTTGCCATTTCTGGCTCCACCTTCCCGAGGAGCTAGACCTTCCAGGTTTGATATGAAGAGGAGACTTAAGTTGCAGCTTTGGTTTCTGGTTGTGATTTGGGGGAGCACCCAGAGTGAGCACTCAGTTTGGGGGCTACGGTCGAGGTAGGGGTGAGTGTTGTAAGGACACAACTGGAAATGGCTCATTCCAGTACAACACAAGTAAAAGTTACATCCTTGTTCTCGTAAACACAGCTACAAACCTCCATAGCCCAGAGGTGTTCAAGCTCACACATTTCAGTCAACACCCCGTTTACTCACCGATTTGGATGGTTTTTCATTCTTGATGGCTCTGGAAATCAAAGGAAGATGGTCAGGTAAGCAGTGGAACTCCTCTACATGTGACTCAGCTGTTGAGTCAGGGAAACCATTTATCTCTTCTCATATCAGGTTGGACTAATAGCTTCAGCCTCTGGAAGGACTAAGTGTACTTCCATGGAAAGAAACTAATCAAAAGGACATTTGGGGCTCATTTGGCCAAACTCTAGTACATGCTCTTGAAGTTTCCACAATAGAACCATCTGTTTTGGGCTTGTTCTTTTTTTTATTATCCCTGCCCCCTCCCCTTTTGGTCTGTCTTACTGTCTCTACCTCATTTCTCAATTGAGTCTTCCAAGTTAGCACGATTACCTCATGGCTATAAAACAAAAAGAACCATACTTTTCACATGTCTCCAAAGGGGCTTCAGATATCTGGTGGATACATTTCCTTCATTGGCCCAGGTTCCCGGGGGCCTTTCTTTTATGTCTTAATATCTGCCTGACTGCAAGAAGTTGGGGTAGTGGGGAGATGGTGTGTGTGGAGGTTGCCTTTTTGTGCCCGTGAACATTTAACAAAAGTATAGAGAGGAGCTCAGCCAAGGAGATGCTCTTCCAGCTCTCCTGTTTCTTGGCTACCGATATAAATAAAAGAGGCTGCGCCACAACATTTTCAAGTTAGCAGAAGGAAAATATACTTATCAGTGGTGACTGCTTTCAAAAATAACATTTATTGTTTTCTTAATTATAAAGTTAATATGTCCCTGCAGAGAATTTGGAAAGCCCAAAGAAGCATAAGGAATAAATTAAGTTACTCATTTTGGGACTGTTTTTGAAAAGTGTATGCTCAAAGCTTTTGTAAGAAAAGACCCTCTTCTGTGCGAATCTGGCTTTCTTGTTTAGAATATCTGTCTTCTCTTTCAGTTTCTAAATCTTCTTAGAAGCGTTTTTCTGTTGCTGTAAACAATACTGAACCAAGGACTTTCTGAATTAATAAAATAAAGAATTTATTGATGCCAAATATCCCGATGACTCAATTTCTGATGAGAGCTACCATAGGTAACACAGTGCTTGAGTTACATGCTGTGTTGCAAGCCAATTTTGGGGGGATATTGTAAATATTAAAGTAAAGAGGAAAAAAGCAAGTTCCTAGGATCAAATTTTTTTTTAAGAGGGGAAAAATGCGTAGAACTTTATAGAGAAGTCTCGAATGCAACCAGCTACTGGGTATCCTTAGTAGCAGAATAGATTTTCTAGAAAGATGATTGTCACGGTCTCTGGCTTTAGTGGTAAATGTTAGCTTAGCTCCAGTGTGGTGATGCTAAAACAATTCCTAGGGGCATTTTCATTCCTTGACTCATTTCTAATTACAGGAGAGCATCACATCAGCATTCTGTCTTTCTAAGTTATGTTGGAAATCACAGGATCAGTCCTTTTGGCAAAAGTGGGGGAGGGGGTTAAATATTTAACGTTTTGAACTGAGTTCAGGAAATAGGTGGGCAGACATCTTATTTCTTAGCCTGTTACCATGTGATTTGTGGGTGGGAATTTCTTTTTAAGCAAGAATAGTGCACTATATTGACTGACCATGTTGTCCAATGCAACATCCCTGAGAACCAGAGTGTAGACAAACGCTCTTTGTCCGAGTGAATAAAAACCGTGTACTGGCATGAATGGCCGTGTCCATTTGCAGGGAGCAGGCGCACATGCCAAGGCCTTGAAATAAAATGTTAAAAGCATATACATAAAACTTGTCTGCGGATCAGACGGGGGCCGCCGGGAATGCGTGTTCCCCAAGTCTTAAACTTGCACTGGAAGCAAAAGTGAGGTGTGGGTGGTTGTACAGAGGAAAAATGCTCTTGGAACACCATTAGACGTGAGGTAATCAGTGGTCTTCAGAATCTGCAGTCTGCTGCAAGAATTCCTTAGGCCTCAAAGGTTGTAAAAGAGGCAGTTGTGTTTGCTTTGTGCGTTTTACAACTATTCCACATGATGCTTTGAAAGGCGGGGTCAATGTCTTCTTGGCTGAGGAACTTGAAGTTGACTTGTGTGAGTGACGTCATGAGGGTTCTAATGAGTAGTGATTCACAGCTCTGGGAAGAGTGCCCATCACCCCCTGAACCCTGCCCTGGGTGACCTGCTCCCAGATTTTCCTCCATGCCAGAAGAGCCAATGAAAAGATAAAGTGGAGAGAATACCACGTGTACCTGAAGTGTAGTGTCAAACGACAGGGCTGTGTGGAGGTGGCAGGCAGACCTGAGGTGAACACTGGTTTTTCTCCCAGGAGCTGTGTGACCTCTCTGTCATTTCACATGTAAAATGGGGTGGTAACGCTATCACTTCCCCCATCACCACTATACACCGGGTACAGCCTTGATTCTACCCCGCCTGGCCAAAGCTGCAGCATGGTGTCAGCCTGCTTTGATTCTTGTCTGCACACCAGTCCGAGGGGGTGTGAAGCTCACTCTCACATCTCGTGTTTGCTTTCTGTTATTGTCTCTCAGGGGCCCACTACAGAAGGCGAGCTTCGTGCTCATGTTTTGGGGGCTCTGTTCTCGTTCATTCAAACAATTTTAATTCCTGAGCTAGTTTGAAATGGAAACCAGGAAACCTAGAGTCTAGACTTAGTTCTGGCACTTACTGGCTGAGAATCCTTAATTAAGTCACTTCTATAAGTTTCCTTACTTGTAAAGAGAGGGTGTAATTAGTTTGCTTGGGCTTCCATAAGCAAGTAGCACAGACTGGGAAGCTTAAACAACAGACATTTATTTTCTTACAATTTTGAAGGCTAGACCTTTGAGATCAAGGTGTCCCCAGGGTTGGTGTCTTCTGAGGCTTCTCTAGGAAAAGATGTCATCTCTCCCCTGTGTCTTCGCATGCTCTTCCCTCTGTGTGTGTCTGGGCCTTCTTATAAGGAGACCAGTCATATTGGATTAGCACACAACTGTACCTCCATTATCTCTTTAAGATTTTCTTAAAAATTTATTGTTTTGAGAGGAAAAAAAGAGATTGACTGATTGTTCTACTTATTTATTTATTCATTGGTTGATTCCTGTATGTGCCCTGACTGGGGATTGTAACTCATAACCTTGGCATATCAGGACAACGCTCTAACCAACTGAGAGCCACCTGGCCAGGCCTCAGTTACCTCTTCAAAGGCTCTATCTCTAAACACAGCCATATTCTGAGATACGGGGAGTTTACAGCTTCAACATATGAATTGGGGATGGAGGGACATAATTCATACCATATCAGAGAGGAATATACCGGTTAGTATCTAAGACCTTTCCAGCTCTGCAAAATTACATTGTAAGTCGGAGATCTTTGCCTTTGTTCTCTGTCCAGTTCTACTCCTGTGAGGTGCCAGCTCGATATTCTTATGTATGTGTTTGAAGGGTATAAAAGTCTGTGTAGTCTTGGCTGTGCAGCTTAGTTGGTTTGGCATCATCCCATGCACTGAAAGGTTGTTGGTTTTGAGCTCTATCTAAGTAGAAATGTGCAGATGGCAACCATTGATGCTCCGCTCTCACATTGATGATGTCTCCCTCCCCCCCTTTCCCTCCCTCCCTTTAAAAAATTAATAAATTTTTTTTTCAGGTGTTGTGTATGGTGAGTGTGTGTGTTTAACAATAATATGATAAGTTAGTAAGGACTGTCAATAGGAGAGTTTCTATAAAATATTAAACGAGATGGAAAAGCATTTGAGAAAATTTTAATTTCATTTTCTCTCTATATAATTTTTAAGTATATAATTAAACACATTCTTCTTGTCGTTACCTCCCACAGCTGGACGCCGACAAACTGGCTCTTCCAATGAGCCCCAGCCCACTCAGCCCAAGCCCCATCCCCAGCCCCAACCCGAAACTTGAGAATTCCACCCTCCTGACCGTGGAGCCCTCCCCGCTGGAGAAGAGCAAGGGCTTCTTCGTGGACGAGTCTGAGCCCCTTCTTCGCTGCGACTCCACATCCAGTGGCTCCTCTGCGCTGAGCAGGACGGGCTCCTTTATTACCAAAGGTACAGACAGGAAGCCTTCCCCACAGAGCCCTCAGGACGACTCCCTGCCACTTCCGCGGTCCTAGAGAGCCTGACCCGACAGTGTGAGGAGGCTGGCCCGGGATAAATCGTGCGGTAGCCTATGGGGATCCACGTGGAAACTTGACAGCCTGCTGCCTCTCTGAGAGCCTGTGCTCGGGGAGTGTCCATCACCCTTGATCCTCATGATGCTTTCAAACGTGTGTTTCAGAAAAGGTCCGATAATATGTAGTCTGGCAGGTTTTCTGAAAATTATTTACCAAGCTTGCAGAAAACACGGATTTAAAGCATTAGCCTCTGTTGAGTGGCTGAAGTATAGGTTTTAGTGACTCAAATTAAAATTCACTGTTAAGGTTAGTTGTAAATAACAATATTTTAAGCATTATGGGCTGGTACTTTTGGTACATAATTTACCACTTTTAGTTTTCAATAGCAGGGTGAGGAATTAACATGCACACTATATCAATGACAGATATTTTGTTAGGAATTTCCTAGTTTGTTTAATTCCAGTTATATTTTCATGAAGGGTTATATTTTATGATCTATTTTATAATTTATAAAATATGTTCTATTTTACATGCTTATATTTTAAATACTTTTCATATTTATATTTATCTTATGTAAAATAGTTATATTTTGTGTTATATTTTAGAGAAAGCTTCTTAAAAATATTTTTTTTATTGATTTCAGAGAGGAAGGTGAGGGAGAGAAATATCAATGATGAGAGAGAATCATTGGTTGGCTGCCTCCTGCATGCCCCCTACTGGGGATAGAGACCACAGCCTGGGCATGTGCCCTTACCAGGAATCTAACCATGACCTTCTGGTACATAGGTTGACATTCAACCACTGAGCCATGCCGGCCAGGTGAGAAGATTTTTATAATAACTAGTGGCCCGGTGCACAGATTCATGCTCATTGAAAGGGAATCTGGTGCGGGTAACCAGATTTGGGCCCAACAAGGCCCCAGCAACAAGCTAACCCATGGCTGATTCTGTGAGGAATCGGGCTCCCTCCTCTCCGGGTCTGGGGTGCAGGTGAACCAGAACCAGGGCTGACAGGGCCCCAGGAGCAACCTAACCTACCAGTCAGAGCATCTGGCCCCTGGTGTTCATTGCCCATCATAGTTACTGGTCGGTTGAACACTTGCTTAGGCATATATATATATATATATATATATATATATATATATATATTATAGTTTCTCACCCCATTGCAAGGCATGACCCAAGAAGCATTATTTTCTTATGTATGTATTTTTTGCTCTTAGCAGCTCAGTTTTAAAATATGGTGTCATAAGTAGACAATCATATAATTAGATTTCATTTACTTGGAATAAACAGAGGGGGGAAAAGTGGGTTGAGGTCTTTTGTTTAGTGAGCAAACTGCTGTTGGGAAAAATAGTAGGGGAGTAGTTTTTCAGATTTTTATTTTATTTTATTTTTAAATATATTTTATTGATTTTGTATAGAGAGGAAGGGAGAGAGATAGAGAGTTAGAAACATCAATGGGAGAGAGTCATCGATCAGCTGTCTCTTGCACACCCCCCACTGGGGATATGCCCACAACCAAGGTACATGCCCTTGACCGGAATCGAACCTGGGACCCTTCAGTCCCCAAGCCGACGCTCTATCCATTGAGCCAAACCGGTTTCGGCAGTTTTTCAGATTTTTAAAAAGGTATTACAGTATTTTCCTTCTGAGTTTTAGAAGAATTTAAAAGTCATTTAGGGATAGGCAAAGGTCCTGTTAAAAGACACACACATCAACAACCCATTGAAGCAGATCTTTATTAGGCAAATATTGTTTTGCTTTCTTACATGCAATGCAAGTAAAAACTCCTGTGTTGTTCCCAGTGTACCAGAGGTTCCGTCACTCACCTTCGGGTGGTAGGTTGGGGATAGCCCGGGGAGAGAGTAGCTGTCACTCTTAGCTGTGGCCCCCAGCACAGTCCCTTTACCTCTGTCCCCTTCCCTGTTCTCTCTTCCCTGTGCAGAAAAGAAGGACACGGTGTTGCGGCAGGTTCGCCTGGACCCCTGTGACTTGCAGCCTATTTTTGATGACATGCTCCACATTCTGAATCCTGAGGAGCTGCGTGTGATTGAAGAGATTCCTCAGGCTGAGGACAAGCTGGACCGGCTATTTGAGATTATTGGCGTCAAGAGCCAGGAAGCCAGCCAGACCCTCCTAGACTCTGTTTATAGCCATCTTCCCGACCTGCTGTAGGACGCAGGGGAGACTGCACTCTGGAAGTTACTCATCTTAGTGTCAGAGTGGTTGGTTTTCTCGTTGTTGTTGTTGCTTTTGGTGTGTGTGTGTGTGTGTGTGTGTGTGTGTGTGTGTGTGTGTGTGTAACAGAGTATATGGCCAGTCTTTTGAGTCCTTTCCTTTATTTTTTGTCGTCCTCCCCCCACCTTTCTGGGAAGTTAGTTTATAAACCTTTTCAAGATATAACTGTTGCAAAATACCGGCCACTAAAGTTTTTTTTAGGTTTTGTATTTTCTCTGTCTTGCCTTCTTACATATTTTCCAAGTTGTTCTGCACACTTTACGTTCACTTCATGTAGCACAAACGCATTGAGACTGCTCCAGCGCACCGGACTGTGAGCCTCTGCAAAAGTGTGATGGCGCCCTGTGAATTCTGTCAGTGGTCTGCGTGTCTCAACCTCCACATCTATGTTTCTTAATTCTTCCCTTTTTTTTTATGATTGTCACTTGCGAATTTTCTTAAGGATGAAGGACATGTAAGAGCCCATCGAATTACTGTAATTCAGTGAGATGTTGCATTGCCTTTTTCATATGCCTTGTTGCGTTGTTCATATTCATGGCCGAAACTTGACCACACCGTTGCCAATTGTCTGGTTTTCACCTGGACACCATGTAGAATGCTTGATCACTCGTCCTCCTCTTACACTAATGCGCTCTGGGCTGGAGACGTGAAACCCTCAAGCCACCAGGACCTGCTATTGAAGTGGCTTAACCATTGGACCACCAAAGAACTTGAACTTCATCTTTTAGGGGTCAAGCTGTTCGGGAACATATTGCTGCACTTGGGAAGGCCACAGCTGAGTGCCAGGGCACCTTTTCCATAGGGAATTTGCCCCGCTTTGCTTTCAAGATTTGTTTTTTTAATCCACACGTAGAGATAGGTCCAGTTTGCCCTGGATCAAAGCCTTGGTCTCGGTGGGATTCTTGCATCATTCAATCACGTCAATTAAAAGTGGCTGCAGCTGTCTGTAAGAGCTCTTGTCTGATATATTTGCACCTCTGCTCCCATTTATAAACATACTCTCTAATGCTCAGTTGTCAGATTCTAAATCAAAGGTGGTGTGGACTCCCTTCATGTGGGTGGGGTTTGTGGATAGTGGTGAGGGACTGATATCAGAAAAAAAATGCCTTCAAGTGTACTAATTTATTAATAAATATTAGGTGTTTGTTACCTGAGTAGTCTGAGTATATTGAATCTTTGCCTTGTACATGTGTTCATGTTATAACTCTTTGATTCATCTCTTGGGAAGATATTTAGGTTATAAAAACCTCAGCCTTTCTGTTCTGTAAATCATGCAAATTAGCAAAAGTTTGTATCTGGAAAAGTCCCTGGAGATTCGCAGAGAAGGACTCCCGAGCACTAAGTGGCTTAGCATTTCCTAGTCTTTCGCAGTGTAAACCTGAGGGTCCTGTTTTTGAGATTGTCCCTATATTATGAAATGAGGATTTAGGGATGGACAGGTACAAATGGTGAGGGCTTAGAGTATATTCATCTTACTCATTTCCATCTAGGAAACTTACCACTCTCTGGGTCTATACAAGTTCATTGGCTTCTGTATGAAACCACATTGCCCCGAGTAACTTCTTTCTTGGCAGTAAGGCTGGGAGAAATCTTATGGTACGATATATTACATTACATTATGTTTATCATATATTTTATCACAGCCTGTCTTGGGAACCCTGGCTCAACAATTCCAATGGCTAGAATCAGCAATTTTGAGTTCTTCTTCCCATGAGAAACTGGAAGTAGATACCCTGTCTGAACACTTTGGCCCGTGTCAGGGACATGACAGGGTATTTTTGTTTCATCCACTTCCACGTGGCTGTTTCTGGAGAACTATCCTGGGTTTAACTGGTTCTCAGGCTATGTTTCCCCTCCTTTTTTGTGGACAGAAGACAAGAATTCAAACACACAAAAAGCAAACTAGCCCTGGCCAGTGGGACTCAGTTTGTTGGACCATCATTCTGAATACCAAAAGGTTGTGGGTTCAATTCCCAATCAGGGCACATTCGCAGGTTGCAGGTTTGATCCTCAGTTGGGGTGCATGAGGGAGGCAACAGGTCTGTTTCTCTCGTGTTGATGTTTTTTTTCTCTCACTCCCTCTTCCTCTCTCAAAAAAAAAAAAAAAAAGAAAGAAAGAAAGAAAGAAAGAAAGAAAGAAAGAAAGAAAGAAAGAAAGGAAAAAGGAAAGAAAAAGGTTAAAAAAAAAAAAAGGGCAAACAATGGGTAATAGATGGTAGTAGAGGACATAGATTTTTTATTACAGAAGATTTCAGGATGGCCACTTATTGTGAGGGTGAGAAACAATGGATGCAAAAATATTACGGTTAATTAGTGTGAATTATTCAAAACTTGGGGATGTTCTTAACCATTTGCACAGCTTTGTACTTTACAAAGGGCTTTTTACATTATCTTATTGAGTCCTTACAACTGGCCTATGATAGGAACTATTATTGTATCTATACAGTGTGAAAAGGAGGCTTACAAAGGTCAAGGAGCTTGTGTAAGGCCCTACAGCAGAATTGTAGAGGTCAGACTTGAACCTGAATCCAAGGCTGTTTACCCAAGACTAGTAACAAGAATTCCGTCTGACTGAAACAGTGAGAAAAGGTCAAGTGATGAAATGTACATGGGTTATAAGTAAAGCCCTATACTTATGTTCAATGCATAATTTTGAACTTATTGGTGGTGTCACTTGAAGACCCAGGGGAAAGGGATATAGCAGTGTGGTTAAAGAGAAGATAACTATTAAGTTAGCATGATATAAAGCTTTTCTAAAAACAAAACACAAAGCCACCTCCTGCTGCATGATTAAAAATACAATATTCTGATTTGAGTTGATCGTCTCCTTTCTATACTACTTCGCTCATGTTGGAGGTTTCCTCTAGTTTGAGCTGTGTAGTTTGAGGGGTGTGTTGAACTGGAAGGTTTCCAGTGTGGGGTGGTGGGTGGGAGTAACCAGAAAAGTAAGAAACGGAATCGGTGCAAACGCTGGGTAGTCGAAGCCTGATGGAGATTACCAGGACAAGGGAAAGACCCGTCAGGATTATGAAGGGCTGGGGAAGGGAGGTTTTTCTTTAGAGAGACTACTGTTTCCTTGGGGATGATTTAGGTTAAATGTAATCAGATTGGGCTGCTTTGCAAAGGAGAGAATGACTTGTACCCTGGGGACAAGTTGGGTGTGCTCCATCATGGAGACAAGAATCACCTGGGAACGAACAGTCTGTAAAGGCAGGCCAGAGTTTTTTCCCCACTGTTTCAAACGCTCTTACGTATTCTTAAAGAATTTTAAGTATAGTTTACATTCAATATTTATATAAACCATGTACATTTTTTAGTTTACTACTTATATAAGCCATGTACTACTTATATAAACCATGTAGATTTTTTGGTTTCAGGTGTACAGCAGAGTGAGTAAGGCTACTCTGCTAAGCTCCCTAAACTTGAATGAGAAAGGGAAATGGGGATCTTGTCAAAATGCAGATTCTGTGTCAGTAATTGGGGGTCGGATGCCTGGTGATGTGGATATTGCTGGCCTCTGGATCACACTGAGTGGCCTGAGATTACGCACCGCTTTCACACAGAGTAGCGCTAATAATGGAGATTACACTAATTCCACGAGAGGGAAGTAAACCATTCCTGTTGATCCAAAGAGATTTCCAGGCAGGCAACCCAGGTCGAAATCTACAGCAGAAGCTCAGTCCTGACTGCACATTGGCATGAGCAGGGGAGCTTTGGGAACTCAATGCTTAGGCTGTACCCCAGACCAAACACATCAGAATCTCAGGGGTTGGGACTCGGGCATCTGCATTTCTAAGCTCCTCAGACCCTAGCAGGTCTGGCCCAATGGGTAGAGTGTCCATTCTCAGACTGAAGGGTCCTAGGTTGGATGGTTATGGCTCAATCTTCAGACCTAGTCAGGGCGCGTGCAGGAGGCAACCAATTGATGTGTCTCTCTCCAATGTTTCTCTCTGTTTCTCCCCCTCCATTCAACTCTAAAAATCAATGGAAGAATGCCTTCGGATAAGGATTAACAAAACAAAACCAAAAAAAGCTCCTCAGGAGGTCCCAAAGTAGACTTGGTTTGAGAAACACTGATATAAGAGCTTGCAAAGGGAGTGATCTGGGGGAGCCTCACCCCAGATCTCATGGATAAATCTGCCATGTGGTTCTCCTATAGACAGTCCCACTCAGCTCTGTAGATTTGCGGTAGGACCCTTAACCCTAGTGTAAAAGCTTATGGAACTGTTAAGAGTTGATACAATACCAAGCATGGGTGGGGCAACACCTTAAAGCTTATGCTGTATTGATAAAATTTGCAACTAATCAATTCGTGGTTTTGAGTGAGCATAATGTATAAGGTATGATTAGTCAAGAACTTTTGGGAAGTGATATTATTAAAGTATGATGAATCAACATTTGGGAAGTGATGTTATTCTTATTTATATTTTTATATATATTTGATTGACGTTTTCTCAATAGTCAAAAAAATGAAATAACATGTAATGAGTCATAAACCTGCACTGACTGTAGCAGAGAATCTCAGATTTGTAGCACCTGGGTCATTGGGGCATCCATCTTGTTGTACAGTCCAGTGGGTACAACAGGTTCAGCATTGCACAGTCTTGTGGGTCCATCTTGAACTTTGGAGAAAAGTAAGTGTGATCTCTTGCTTAGCAGAATTGAGGGTCTTACCTTTGGAAGGAGCTTGGATGTCATTTAGAAAGCCTGTAGTTTTTAGGTGGGAAGTCAGACTATTTCTGCCTGTTAATGACAGAGCCGGGTTCCTTTAGTCCCCACCACCATTCCTTCGTAATTCCAAGATAATCCCTTTTTGCTTCTTTTCTTGAAAATAAGTAGAAAATAAAATTAATGATGTGAGGAGGAATTGTTAGAAATCTGAAAAAGTTTTACATAGTCTATTTGACTTCCAAGTACCTGCATATGTGAAACATGTT